GGGATGTGCTATGGGAGGGCTGGCCGCAGGGAGGGTGGGAGGAAGCGAGTGTCAGCAGGCACATGGGTGGGGTTGGGGTGGGGGTGTGAGCCTGGTGCTAATTTGGCCTGAGTCTAGATGCTGCTCATCAGGCCCCAGTCTGGAGACCTTCCAGTGGTGAGGTCATGATTTTATTTGATGCCAGGATAGAAAAGCAATGGAGAGGTCCCAGTGGTGACTCTGTGTCACCTGCTACTTGGAAGTGAAGACTCAGGTGGCCCAAGGAAGCAAGGCGGGAGGTGATTGATAATTTGCCATGGAAGAGTAGCTGGGAGCCCAAGCATACCCAGAGGGGAAAAGTGTTTGGTTTTCTGTTGTTTGCTTTGTCTCCTTTCCTGTGTTAGTGCTGTGTTCTGCTTGTTTCTCATTTGTTGGCAGCATCTACATTTCCTTTTCCTCTTTTCCACTTCCCTGTGTCTTCAAAAAAGAAAAAAGCATGCTGGCCCAGTGCTGGTGGCTTATATCTGTAATCCTAGCTACTCAGGACTGAGGTCTAAGGATCGTGGTTTAAAGCCAGCTCAGGCAGGAAAGTCTATGAAATTCTTATCTCCAACTAACCACCCAAATCCAGAAGTAGAGATGTGGTTGAAGTGATAGCGCATTAATCATGAGACAATTATTTAAAAAAGCCCAGGGACAGCATCCAGGCCTTGAGTTCAAGCCCCAAGATGAGAACAAAACAAACAAAAGGCATGTTTTCTCTTGCCTTCAACTCATTTAAATTCAGGTTTGATGTGTGTACAGGGGAGTAAGTTTTACGTGTTCGATGTATGTGTGTTTGCACATAATTGTGTGCATATTTATACTTGTTTTATGTATGCATACTTGCAGATATTGTATGTGTGTATATTTGCACATGTCATGTGTGTGTGGTATGTAGTTCAGGAGGATTTACATGATGCATGAACTATGCACGATAAAGAGCGACTTGCCAGGCATAATTAGGATTGTGTCTTTGAATTTTCATTATGTATATTTTACAAGCTTCTCATTCAAACTTCTATCATAAAAAATTAATGAGAAAACAAGTAATACTATTCACACTTCCTCAAGAAGAAATTAAGATACACATTGAGGTAGAAAAATCCCTCTACTCAGCCAGCACAGGAACAGAAGCAGGAATTGTCTTAAAACCCAACAAGTTACTTGACCTTAGACAGTGATAGTTTCCACGGAAGCAAATGGTCTGTTTCCTTCTGTCGGAACTCCATGATTTTCACATAGAGTTATTTGACCTACAAAGTAGAGATAGCTTATTTTCATGTAAAATGGTGTTGACAGTAGTTAACGTTTTGTGAATTCTTAGAGCGTGGGGAGAAGTCATCATTTGGAAATGAGACTGGCACTGGCGGCTGGTTTATTTATGACAGTGAGGAAAACATGAGATTCCCACCTGTGCAATCCTGTGCGATAGCATTTTTTCCCCCTTAGCAATCAATAGAATCTATGCTCTGCATCTGCTGAATTCCCACGCCTTTCTATACAGCATGCTTCCTTTCCATTTCTTTTTGGTCATCCAATCTGATGACAGTTTAGAAATCATAGCCTACTGCTAAGCATCTCCTCTCTTGAGGAGGCAGTAATCCACACAAGTGGAGTGTAGAGCCTCCTGCATTCTGCACACAGTCACCCCGACACTTCTCATAACCAGAGCTCAGTGGAGCTGGACAAATATCGTTCACTGTGAAGACAGCAGGTCCAGCCCTCAGACCTGGAGGAGAGCAGGATAGATCTCTAGACACAATTCCTTTGTACACTAAATTAGTGTAAAAATTGATCCGCCAATAGACCTGTCCAAGAATTTTGGACATTAGACATTTCTTCCTGCATTATGGTTGTTGGGAATAAAAGTAAACATGTGTAGCTTCACACATCTTCCAGTGGTCAAAGTGTTGCTACATTTTCTTCAGCTGTTTATGAGAGTCTAGCGTATTGGTCACTATACTGGCCGGGTATATGCAGACATCCTTGCAAGAATTACTAATGCCGGTGAGGCTATTTTCCACTGCCTGGAAGGGTCCCAGATTACTGTACCTTTAAGTTGTTTTTTTTTTCAGATTTGAATCTTTTGTTTTTTTCTTCTCCCATAACTTATGTGGGACCTGGGATGATCTTAGGGGCTTTGTGAGGTGGGTTAGATCGGGTGCGGTTGAGACCAAGGTAACATTGCAGGCAGAGAGAATGTTGGTGCTCCTCCTTCCCCTCCCTCTCATCTCCCCCCCCCCCCCAGCTCTCCAGCACAGCAAGGTCTTGGTGAGCTCACTGCCCCCTTTTCCCTCCCAGAGGGAGATCAAGCCTCTGAGGTCAGGCCTCTGCTCACAAGGCAGTGTCACAGGCTGGGACTGGGTTGCAGGCTTCCATTCCATTGCCTGATTTTGGTGCTTACCCCCTTGTCTAGGGAGGTGTTGACACGAAATTTCTTCACCAGTCAACTAATGTACTTTCCCAAGGGAAAAGTCACAGGAGTAGCAGAAGCAGGACAAGGCAAGACCAGTGAACCCAGCCCATACTCGACCCAAGTAGACACACCCTGGCTTGTCCCTGAGGACACTCTGTCTCAGACAATCCCATTCACAAGAATCCCCCGTGAGTTTTGTTACCTGTGGATTCAGATTCAGTAGGCCTGGCGTGAGACCAGGGACTTGTAGTTGATAGGGTCTTCCTTGTATCTGGATCTGCAGTGTCACCAATGTCTCCCACCCCCCACAGTGTTTCCTGGTTACATTAAAGTTTGGGGGTCCTCTGACCTGGCATACGACAAAGCGCATGTAGAGGATACTTCAGGTCTGGGCCTGCCCTGTCTTGAAACATTTTGGAATGTCTCCAGGACTTTCATCCGTGGCTTGCCCTCCTCTGCCCCCCGTGAGCATCCATGAGCCCTCGGTCCTCTGAGCAGCTGCCTTACTGTCTGGGTTTCTGAGGCAGACACCGGTGGCTGGAGCTGGGCGGAAGAAGGGACATCTATCTTTCTTGGTACTGTTGCTCCCACAGGGTGTAATTTGCTTGATAGATGTGTTCTGGCTGCAGCTACTCTGGGTAGGGTGAGAGATTTGTGCAAAAAAAAAAAAGGCAGAGTGCACGGGACTTTAGAAAACATTGCATGCAGAAAGTAGAACCTGGAAGACAGAGAAGATGGGAGGTATCGAGTTCTTCAGCCCTGTGGCTCCTGAGGAATAGGGGGGAATAAATGGGAATGACAGTCCTGGGAGAGTGGGGACCATTGTAGTTAATAATGCGCTGTGGGTGGCAGATGGTGTTTTAGCTGTCGCTTGCATCTACCTGCTTTTCAGTCATGAGATGTTCCCTGCCTACACCTTGGCCAACAGATTGTGTTACCTTCCCTCCCTCTGATCTGGCTGACTTATGCCTCACAGACAGAGGTGGCGCAGGCTGCTCTGTGTGGCTCCCGGGCAGGGCCAAGAGAAGCTACTCTGTTTTCTGCCTGCTTCTTTCAGGATGCTTATTCTGGGGGAAGCCAGTGGTGGTGAAGGATGCTGACTCCCTCCTGGACCACAGTGCTGGCAAGGCATGTGGAAGGGCTCAGAGAAGCGTTAGCAGGACTCCCGGATGTCAGCTGGCATCAGTGGCTGGCCTGTGGCAGCCAGCGTGCTGAGAAGCGTCAGTGTCACACACCGAAGCCACACGAAAGCTAAACCTCTCTTGCCTTTCTGATCCACAAATGCATGAACCACCAAAACATTGTAGGGGGCGGGGGGAATCATTATGCAGGCAGCGGAGTATTGTTGAAGCCGGAGTTACTCTAAGTAGGTTATGCACTCTTGAAGACATTTCTCAAACAGAATTTGTTGAATTTCATGTCCTTTAAAAATGTTTTAAAAACACTTGGGAGCAGGGAATAGGCTGCCACAAATATCAAGCAAACAGAATCATGAAAATTGCCTGGTGCAAACATTCAGCTGTAGGCTACAGCGGAACCACAGTGGTGATAAAACGCCAGCTTCTGTTGACGTTCTGTTAGGCATCCGCGTGCAGGCTCTTTCCTTTGGTTTTCACTACAGCTCTGTAAGGTGTGTCCATCTTCCAGATGGGGGACCAGCTCTGTGTCTCCTCCTCTGTTCTGCTCCAAGTCCCATCCTCTCCACTCTTAGAGTAACTGCTTTGACTGGGATTTCCCATCCCCTTTGCTGAGTCTGTCATTGACTTGGCCAGATTGGAAGTTCCTTGGCCTGGCACTTGAACCCTGCCTCTCCTGGTCCTGTGGCTTCATCTGGTCGTATCCGAAGCCTTGTCACCAAGTAGAGATTGAACAGGAGAGCTGGGGGTATGCTGATAGCTGAGAACCAACAAAGCAAGCGCATGCATTTTCCACCATCACTTCCCTAGTTTCCCCCTTAGTGGGTGATGGCTTTTCATTGCCCAACTAAGGATCTCAGGACATGAGTGGGATGTCTTGAAGAATGAAGAGGAAGGAGGCTTAATGCTGTTAAGTCAGCAGACCCAAAACATATGTTTTTTGACATTCCTCTCCAGCCCCCAAGCGACCAACTTCTCTTGGAATCTTTTCACCCTCACTCTGCCCCCTAGAGGAGGTGTTGGGCACTGCATGGTGCCTCTAGGTAATGTGAGGAGAGGAATGTGGACAGTTGCTCTCTTAAGAGAGCCATTTGCTTTCTCATGCTTGTTCCAACTTAAGCCCATTTTCTTCCCAAAGTCTGGCCTGGCCTTGCTGTCTCAGCCATATTACACTTTAGCTTTTACATTAATTTTCAGTTCCAGGTTCTTAAGAGTCTCTGTAGGGCAGCCTCAAAGCCATTTCCTGACTCAGAGAACTGATCTTTGTTCTGAGTCTTTGTCATTCTGTAGTTGGAATGGGCCAAGAAGCAGCAGCAGGGCGCCCACACTGGAGGGCAGATGTGTTCCCTGTGGAGGGGTCTCCTTGGGTCAGCCCACCGCCACCCCTAGCACAATGCTCAGCTCTCATGATCTTTGCTTTGTTTCAGTTTTACAGAGTTTTTGGATCCATTCCAGCGAGTTATCCAGCCGGAAGAGATCTGGCTCTATAAAAATCCTTTGGTGCAATCAGACAACATACCGACTCGCCTCATGTTTGTAAGTACCATAATTTCATGGCTGATTTGACCCTTCTCCCAGGTATAAACCCAGTGGGCTAGTGGGCTTTCATCTTTGCTTTTCTAAAACCCCTGCTAAGATGGCAGTCTGCTTGGAATAAAGAGAAGGTGGGTGGCCCGTCACATTCAAATTCAATTCTGAATTATGATGGCTGCTGTTTAGTCATGTGAGAAAACATAATTCCCCAAAACTTTGGAAAGAGAAGGGACTCATGTACCTGGGCTATGCCAAACTGCTTCTGAATATTTACGGTAAAAGAAAGAATAGAAAGCTGGGTGCTTGTGCCTCACACCTGTAACACTAACTACTCGGGCTGAGGTCTAAGGATTGCAGTTTCTAGCCAACCTGGGCAGGAAAGTCTGTGAGACATGTAACTCCAATTAACCACCAATAAAGCTGGAAGTAGAGCTGGGGTTCAAATGGTAGAGTGCTAACCTTGAGCAAAAAAAGCCAGGGACAGTGCCCAGGCCCTGAGTTCAAGCCCCAGAACTAGCAAATGCACATGTGTGTGCGTGTGTGCGCATGCACAACACACACACACACACATACACACACACACACACACACCGAGGCACACAGACACAGAAACACTAAAAAAAATGACAAGAACTTTATGCCCCTTGTTCCTGAGAATAAGTCTTGATTTTGCCAAACTTAGGTACCATAGGTAGTTCTGTTAACTGCTTTTTTGGTTCTAGCTGGTCAGTTGTTGACTACCAATAAGATTAGCCCTTGAATGGTGTCTTGTGTCTCTCTTCTTCTAGAATAAATAAATGAGCAAACAAACTAGCTGGTGGGGATAGCAGGATTATATTTCTACCTACCCATCCTGGCTGACACTGGAAACATTTTACCCTCCACTTCCTCAGTGTGCTAAGAGCAGGAGCAGGGATAGTCTCACTTGGTTCCACTCCATCTCGGTAAAGAAGGTGTCATGATTGTCCATACATTGCAGGTATAGATCTTCAACCCAAGGATGAGGGAACTTCCCACGAGATATGACATCTAGTGAGGAGCAGTACTGTGCCCAGGCCACCAGCGTGGAGTGCTGTTACTATCTAGTCTTCTCTATGAACTGTCCCTGTAGGCAAGAAGCAAAGTGTCCACAGCCACTTCCAGATGCGAATTAACCCCAGGAGAATTGCCATCAACCCCTTCCACAGCACAGGAAATATTTAAGCTCCCAGTACTGTGGAGCCATTATGTATCATTTGGGTGGCCAGGCTTGAAGGTCATTCCTCTTGACCTGTCATTGTGTCTGGGCCTCTGGGAACTGAAATGAAATTTTGAGAACTTTCATAGAACACACACAGGTAAATTTTGCATTTTGAATGAAATTCCTCCAGTTTTTAGGTGGGAAATCTTATTAGCTAATGATGATTGAAAAGATTTCTGTATCTGCAAACTCCAGGATGTCTGGAACATCGCAGAACACCGAAATAGTCTTACACTTGCTTTTAATAACTCCAGAAACTAGGTTTCTGTGAGTCTCAGGGAAACTGAAATATTTTAATATTTCAGTGGTGGTTGGGAGTAGACCATAACAGATACTGGAGTATTGCAATAAAACATTTTCACTTCTGGACAAATTCAAATGTCCTATAACTCCTGGAGATGAAGGAATGAATCAGTGTGTGTCTAATGATTTTATGGCTTTAACAGGAAGAGGCATCTATTTGTCCCTTACTCTCATTCTTCATAAGAATTTACATCTTGTATGTTGTATAATACAATTTGGAGATGAGTGTTTATACAGGATAGGGCAAGAAAATTTGTGACTGTGCCCCAGATTTATGAACAATGGGTTGTTTTGAAGACTAGAGACAAGTGCCACAAATATCCTGGCTACAGACACAAATAGGATGGACCATTTTGCATATTGGCAGAAGCAGGAAAGAGGCAGCCAAGAAAGCTGTTCAGTGGGGGTCATGCTCAAAGAGGAGAGGGGCACTCCATCACACACTGATTTGTGACCACTCATTTCCCAGTGACATAAGTTCAGTCTTATCCTTTGTTCGTAATAGTTGATGAATTTCTTGCATTTGGTCTGGAGATTTTGTGAGGCTGCATCATAAAACCAGGAAACCCCATGGCTACACTTAACAATATCTGCAACCCCAAGATGAAAAATACTTTGTCATGCTCTGAATTCCATTTGTTCTCCTGGATTTTATTAAGGATTTAATATAAGGTAGTGTTTGTCACCGTTTGAACCTCTAATTCCTTCCAGTATTTGTAGAAGAGTGTTAAGTGGAGAAGATATGTTTGACTGATATTTAAAATAACTTTATAATACTTTTTATTATCTTTAAGTAGTTGTATAAAGGAGTTGCCACTCACCAGAGCAGGTTTTGACTACAGTGCATCTTGACCATTCTCACCCACCCTTCCCAACCCATCCCTTCCCTCTTTTAATTTTAGGTTATGTATTGAATTTTTTGCCATTGAACAAAGCAGTTTATGTGCACAATGCATCTTGATCTGTGTCCTCCCTTCCACATCTTCACCCAACTTCGACCCATGGCTTCCCTTACATTTCTCAATTCCATGGTATAAACAATGAGTTATTGCCTGCTGTCTCCCACTCCCCTCCTTCAATCTTTTACCCCTCTCCTTTTGGCCCCACTCTTCCCTCTTGGCAAGTACCCATTTCCTACTACTTATTTTTATTGGGCTTTGATCTTTTAAAAGAATCATTCTATTTGTGCTCTCTCCATAGAATCTATTACCCTTCAGTTAATTCATTTGGAACCCCTTGTACCACCCAGTGTGTTTACTTGTAGATTTATAGGCACATTCCAGCTGCCACAAATGAGGGAAATCAGGCACCCTGTGTTACTCTGGGTCTGGCTTACTTCATTTGATTTCTTTTGAAAGCTCAAGTTTCATTATTTAATACATATGCAAAATCCTGGGTCTCTTTTACTTTGGGTTGGAATGCTTTCATCTAAAGGTAAATTTCCTAACTCTTAAGATTTTTTTTAAAGGAAGCCAGGATTGGCCCAGATGTTTCTTTATTAGGTAATTAGTACTTCCGGGGTTATGGCTCTGTGTGTGTGTGTGTGTGTGTGTGTGTGTGTGTGTGTGTGTATGTGTGTTAGAGGAGTCAGTTGGTCACATGTAATAAGAAAACTAACAGAATAATGGCCAAGCGATTGAGTTATGTGTGGTTACATAAAGAGTGGATGTTAATGATATCACCAGCAGGTCTCTCTGTCTGTGACCCCCTCTCAACATGAAAGCTAGGCATGGGGGGACTGTGTGATTTCCAGAGTTTGTTTCCCTCCTGTTGATGTTTCAGTGTTCCTTCACCAGAGAGGCTGGCAGAGAGTTCTTGTCAGAGGTACTTGAGTCTTAATATTTCCTGGCGAGCTTCACTCAGGTTCTCACTCAGAAGGGGTCGTGGTTCCTTGTGAGTGTGTGGTCTTTATCAGAGCATGTCCGGAATGCCTACTTGTTGGGTTAGGGCAACTTAGTTGGTATTGGCTGTTGTTGTTGTTTTACTATATTCTTTGTTAGCATCTATAGTAGTTTTCTCTTTGTACATTCAGAAGTGCTCTAGGGAGACTATTTTGGGTGAGAAAAGCCAAAGGAGCTGGAGGTTGTGGGAAGTTGAATCAGGCATGAAGTACACCCTCGGGGACAGTACAGGCCCGGGGGAAAGATGGCCTAATACAAATTAAAACAAGCAGATGCGGTGGCATGGGAAAACTTCCAGAGGTGTCATTATCCCCATAACAATCACCACCATCACCATCAGCACCATCACCAGCTTCATCCTCATCTTCACTGTCACTTTCATTTTTATTACTCTTGCCAGCATGAACGACTAAAGCAGCCAACACTTCCCGAGGACAGGACTACGCTCATCCAGTGACAAGCAGCATCTCAGCTCATGGTCCTCAGCATTCAGGGAAGTCAGCACTTTGCATGACTCCATCATTTCAGGATGAAAACGACTTGTCCAAGGCAGGTCTTGTCCTCAGCTGCAATGGCTGGACCGGACCCAAGGGGCTTCCAGAATGCAGGTCCTTTGCCTGGAGCCCAGAGGCCGTGCTGTCTCCTTGGGGACTGTGGTGGAGGTGGTAGCCTGTCACACACAGGAGAGCAGCTGTGCAAAGGATAGGCGTAGGTGAACAGGAGCACTTTGGACTTGGTAAATAGGAGTCTTTGTAATTATCTGTGGGGTAAAGAGGCAGAGGAAGTGGAGCTCAAACCAGGCTGTGGGCAGCTTCCGGTTAATCACTGTGCAGGTCCGGGGACAGTTATAGTGAGCACACGGATACAAGTGCAAGGCATACAGCTCAGTACCGCGGGGAAACCTTTGAAGAACAGATGAGTGGGGGCTTGAAGCATGAAGGGGTAGTCACAGATTTTCTTCATTTTATTTAAAGAAAACGTCCACCGGAGACCTGCCCTTTGCCTTTGTCTCTTTAGACTCTGGCCAAAATTATGCCAGATTTCATCTCTCAGAATCTTTCTGACACTGTATTGATTTGCTAGCAGGTTTTATTTATTTATTTTTTAACTTCAGGGACGGAATGTGTCCAAAGAAGACAGAAATAGTTCCTTGGGAAGGTTGGAAGGAAGAGAGACAAAACTAGCTTGTGCGAGACAATTTAATGGGATGGGTCTTTTGAAGTCTCTGACAGTTCTTTTTGTGTGTGCGTGAGGGATGTGATTGCTTACTCACAGAAGACCTTCTCCAGGCATATCTGTCCTAAAATTGTCTTTATTTTTATTGTAAAGTTACTGTACAGAGGGGTTACAGTGACATGAGTAAGGTAATGAGTCCATTGCCTATCAAGCATTGTTACCCCCTCCTTTGTTTGTCCCCTACCATCCTTTCCCTCCCCAATTCCTCCCTCTTCCCTCCACCTCGAAGTTGTAAAGTTCATTTTCAACATAGTGTCTTGTACATCTCATTGTTACACTGGGTCAACCTATATCCTTGTGTCAGCCTGAAGTTGTCTTTATGA